TAAAAAAAAAAAAAAATACAAGTTCAAAATTAGTTGCCGAAAAAACAGCTGCACTAGGAAGGTAGTGCACAGGCGCCCCTGGTTGAATAAATGTACATAATATGTATTAGGGTGTGCCAAAATGTAACTCCCGTGGAGGACCTTTTAGAATTGGAATTTTGAGTTCCGTTTTAAAAAGCAGCTCTGTTGAGGTCTTTCCTAAGATATTTTGGATTGAGACGATAAATTTGATTTTCATAGAATTTTTTAACCCGAGCTTAGTTTGGACACTTCCGGCCAAAATTTGAATTTTCAGCGGTAATATAAACGATATAATCGGCATTATCTCTTCTCTAACTCCCGTAATTCTGTACGGATCTCAATAAAACGTAACATACTTATTAGGCTGATTCAAAAAAATCGACTATTTTTTTTTCTTAAATTTAACGAAAATATTGTTGGAAATGATGAAAAAAAAATCCTGTGAAAGCCACAGCCCTTAATATTAATATTAAGAACTCTCGCATGATAAATTTCAATTTCCCGTAAGATTAACACGGGAAAGCTTGTTTTTTTGAGTTTAGAATTTTATAACTCTTTAATGGTTCGTCAAAAAAGCTAGGCCAAATCATTTTCTTGTATAAAATTGAACGCTCTACAAAAAAGCTCTCTTATAATTTTTCGATAAACTGACGCGTTTTGAAGTTATTCAACTAAATACAATTTATAATATTTTCTCTTCTTTTTTTCAATTTTTTGACGAAACTATCAAGTTTATCAAAAAATTTTGTCAAATTTTCCTAATTTTAGGTATTCTAAATTTTATTTGGTTTCACAGATGCTTTTATTTGACTCTCAAATTTCTAATACTATTGTATCTTAATTTGCTAATTAAAATTCTTTTTTATGTGTTATATGTCCAATTATTTGTTGACCGACATTCATTCTTCTGTTACGTCCCCACCTGCATTCGCAGATGTCACTATAGCAAATACGCGCGCTAATTTAAAACTCTAATAATTTCATAAATATTCTTATTTTATAAATAATAATGTAAAATGATAAGTAAAGAATTCCAAATGTTAAATATTAAATACTAAATATTAGAAATAGAAAATGATAAGAA